TCTGCTGTTCCTGTTCACCTAGCAGTAAAATGGGTACCTGGGTGTTAGTGGACTGGTGTGGGTCGCATCCTGGGTGTTAGTGGACTGGTGTGGGTCGCATCCTGGGTGTTAGTGGACTGGTGTGGGTCGCATCCTGGGGTCTGTATACCTTGTACATGCACTTGAAAAAATGAAGATAATTACCTAAACCTCCCAAGACCTCCACCGCTCTCCCCTGACCTCCACCACCCTCCCCTGACCTCCACCACCCTCCCTTGACCTCCACTACCCTCCCCTAGACCCCACCACCCTCTACTGACCTCCACTACCCTCCCCCGACCTCCACCACACTCCCTGACCTCCACCACCCTCCCTTGACCTCCACCAACCCCTACCCTAGACCTCCACCACCCTCCCCTGACCTCCACTACCCTCCCCTGACCTCCACCACACTCCCCCGACCTCCACCACCCTCCCTAGACCCCCACCACCCCTCCGACCTCCACCGCCCTCCCCTGACCTCCACCACCCTCCCCTGACCTCCACCACCCTCCCCTAGACCTCCACCACCCTCTCCGACCTCCACCACCCTCCCCTGACCTCCACCACCCTCCCCTAGACTCCACCAAACCCCCCTCCCCTGACCTCCACTACCCTCCCCTGACCTCCACCACCCTCCCTTGACCTCTACCACCCTCCCCTAGACCTCCACCACCCTCTCCTGACCTCCACCACCCTCCCCTGACCTCCACCACACTCCCCCAGACCTCCACCACCCTCCCCTGGCCTCCACCCCCCTCCCTGACCTTCACCACCCTCACCCGACCTCCCCCACCCTCCCCTGACCTCCACCCCCTCCCCCGACCTCCACCACCCTTTTCCCCGACCTCCAAACCCCCCTCCCCATTTCCTTTCCACCACCCTCCCCGACCTCCACCACCCTTTCCTGACCTCCACCACTCTCCCTCCAGACCTCCACCCACCCTTTCCCTGACCTCCACCACCCTCCCAGTCCTCCACCACCCTCCCCCGACCTCCACCACCCTTTCCTGACCTCCACCACTCTCCTCCCGACCTCCACCACCCTTTCCCTGACCTCCACCACCCTCCCCAGTCCTCCACCACCCTCCCCTACCTCCACCACCCTTTCCTGACCTCCACCACTCTCCTCCAGACCCCACCACCCTTTCCTGACCTCCACCACTCTCCCCCAGACCTCCACTTACCCTCCCTTTAAACCCCCACCACCTTCCCCTGACCTCCATCAGCCTCCGCTGATTTCCACCACCCCCCTGACCTCCACCACCCCTCCCCTGACCTCCACCACCTTCCCCTGACCTCCATCAGCCTCCGCGATTTCCACCCCCCCCCTGACCTCCACCACCCTCCCCCTGACCTCCACCACCCTTTCCTGACCTCCACCACTCTCCCCCAAAACCTCTACCACCCTCTCCTAACCTCCACCACCTCCCCAGACCTCTATCACCCTCCCCTGACCTCCACCACCCTCCCCTGACCTCCACCACCCTCCCCTGACCTCCACCACCCTCCCCTGATCTCCAAACCCCCCTTTCCTGACCTCCACCACCCTCCCCAGTCCTTTCCCCCACCCTCCCCTGACCTCCACCACCCTTTCCTGACCTCCACCACTCTCCCCAGACCTCCATCACCCTCCCCTGACCTCCACCACCCTCCCTGACCTCCCCCCCCTCCCCTGACCTCCACCACCCTCCCCCGACCTCCACCACCCTTTCCTGACCTCCACCACTCTCCCCAACTCCTCTACCACCCTCCCTAACCTCCACCACTCTCCCCCAGACCTCCATCACCCTCCCCTGACCTCCACCACCCTCCCCTGACCTCCCCCACCCTCCCCTGACCTCCACCACCCTCCACTTTATCTCCACCACCCTTTCCCTGACCTCCACCACCCTCCCCAGTCCTCCACCCCCTCCCTGACCTCCACCACCCTCCCCTGACCTCCACCACCCTCCCCTGACCTCCACCACCCTTTCCTGACCTCCACCACTCTCCCCCAGACCTCCATCACCCTCCCCTGACCTCCACCACCCTCCCCTGACCTCCACCACCCTCCCCTGACCTCCACCACCCTCCCCTGACCTCCACCAAGTCACTCTCTTAACATAACGTCAGCCAAGACTCGTACATCATGATGGAGTCAGCAGGTGCAGTGTCAGGTGTTGGAGGGATCGGTGGGGGGTGGACGGGGAGGGGGTGAGACACATGGGGGAGGGGGTGAGACACATGGGGGAGGGGGTGAGACACATGGGGGAGGGGGAGAGACACATGGGGGAGGGGGAGAGACACATAGGGGAGGGGTGAGACACATAGGGGAGGGGGTGAGACACATAGGGGAGGGGGTGAGACACATAGGGAGGGGAGAGGACACATAGGGGAGGGGGTGAGACACATAGGGGAGGGGGAGAGACACATAGGGGAGGGGGAGAGACACACAGGGGGGGGGGAGAACACATAGGGGAGGGGGTGAGACACATGGGGGAGGGGGTAAGACACATGGGGGAGGGGGTGAGACACAGGGGAGGGGGTGAGGACACATAGGGGAGGGGGGTTTAGACACATGGGGGAGGGGGAGAGACACATGGGGGAGGGGGAGAGACACATGGGGGGGAGTGGGGTGAGACACATAGGGGAGGGGGTGAGACACATGGGGAGTGGGGTGAGACACATAGGGAGGGGGTGAGACACATAGGAGAGGGGGTGGAGACACATAGGGAGGGGGTGAGACACATAGGGGAGGGGGAGAACACATGGGGAGGGGGTGAGACACATGGGGGAGGGGTGAGACACATGGGGGAGGGGGTGAGAAAACATAGGGGAGGGGGTGAGACACATAGGGGAGGGGGTGAGACACATAGGGGGGGGGGTGAGACACATAGGGGAGGGGGTGAGACACATAGGGAGGGGGTGAGACACATAGGGGAGGGGGTGAGACACATAGGGGGGGGTGAGACACATGGGGAGGGGGTGAGACACATGGGGGGGGGGTGAGGGCACTGGGGGAGGGGGGTGAAGACACATGGGGGAGGGTGAGAGACACATAGGGGGAGGGGGTGAGACACATGGGGGAGGGGGTGAGACACATGGGGAGGGGGTTGAGACACATGGGGGAGGGGGTGAGACACATGGGGAGGGGGTGAGACACATGTGGGGAGGGGGTGAGACACATGGGGGGGTGGTGAGACACATGGGGGAGGGGTGAGACACATGGGGGAGGGGGAGAGACACATAGGGGAGGGGGAGAGAGAGGTAGTAATAAATATGCAGGAGAGAGAGTGTAGAGAAGGGTAGGGGGAGAGATTAAAGAGGGAGGGGTATGGAGAAGATGCCCACAGAATGTGGGTAGGATACCCACAGAATGAGGGCAGGATACCCACAGAATAAGGCCAGGATACCCACAGAATGTGGGCAGAATACCCACAGAATGAGGCCAGGATACCCACAGAATGAGGCCAGGATACCCGTATAATGTGGGCAGGATACCCACAGAATGTGGGCAGGATACCCACAGAATGAGGTCAGGATACCCACAGAATGAGGCCAGGATACCCACAGAATGAGGTCAGGATACCCACAGAATGAGGTCAGGATACCCACAGAATGTGGGCAGGATACCCACAGAATGAGGCCAGGATACCCACAGAATGAGGTCAGGATACCCACAGAATGAGGTCAGGATACCCACAGAATGAGGTCAGGATACCCACAGAATGAGGCCAGGATACCCACAGAATGTGGGCAGGATACTCACAGAATGAGGTCAGGATACCCACAGAATGAGGTCAGGATACCCACAGAATGAGGTCAGGATACCCACAGAATGTGGGCAGGATACCCACAGAATGAGGTCAGGATACCCCACAGAATGAGGTCAGGATACCCACAGAATGAGGTCAGGATACCCACAGAATGAGGTCAGGATACCCACAGAATGAGGTCAGGATACCCACAGAATGTGGGCAGGATACCCACAGAATGAGGTCAGGATACCCACAGAATGAGGTCAGGATACCCACAGAATGAGGTCAGGATACCCACAGAATGAGGTCAGGATACCCACAGAATGAGGTCGGGATACCCACAGAATGTGGGCAGGATACCCCACAGAATGAGGCCAGATACCCACAGAATGAGGTCAGGATACCCACAGAATGTGGGCAGGATACCCACAGAATGAGGTCAGGATACCCACAGAATGAGGTCAGGATACCCACAGAATGAGGTCAGGATACCCACAGAATGAGGTCAGGATACCCACAGAATGTGGGCAGGATACCCACAGAATGAGGTCAGGATACCCACAGAATGAGGTCAGGATACCCACGAAATGAGGTCAGGATACCCACAGAATGAGGTCAGGATAACCCACAGAATGAGGTCAGGATACCCACAGAATGAGGTCAGGATACCCACAGAATGTGGGCAGGATACCCACGAAATGAGGCCAGATACCCACAGAATGAGGTCAGGATACCCACAGAATGTGGGCAGGATACCCACAGAATGAGGTCAGGATACCCACAGAATGAGGTCAGGATACCCACAGAATGAGGTCAGGATACCCACAGAATGAGGTCAGGATACCCACAGAATGAGGTCAGGATACCCACAGAATGTGGGCAGGATACCCACAGAATAAGGCAAGAAAGTTGTCCTCCCATAACAAGATCAACACGGAACATGTACGTTACTTAGTGTGAGGACGGTCAGTAGAGTCAGCAAGGAACACGGAACGTGTACGTTACTCAGTGTGAGGACGGTCAGTAGAGTCAGCAAGGAACACGGAACGTGTACGTTACTCAGTGTGAGGACGGTCAGTAGAGTCAGCAAGGAACACGGAACGTGTACGTTACTCAGTGTGAGGACGGTCAGTAGAGTCAGGAAGGAACACGGAACATGTACGTTACTCAGTGTAAGGACGGTCAGTAGAGTCAGCAAGGAACACGGAACGTGTACGTTACTCAGTGTAAGGACGGTCAGTAGAGTCAGCAAGGAGCACGGAACGTGTACGTTACTCAGTTTAAGGACGGTTAGTAGAGTCAGGAAGGAAGAAGAGAGCCACTTACTCTGGACCAGTCCAAGTCAGGCCAGTCAACGAGGGATCTGACCACCAGCTTGTTCCCGAGGAACGCCACGAAGGCGTTGGCGACACAGGAGTGGTCTATGATGGACGCGCCGAGGTAGATGCTGGTGCCTATGGGCGTCAGGCGGTCGTCAAGCAGACAGAAGCTGTTTACCAACACCTGCAGGAGGAACACCTGTGTCATTAACACCTGTAGTCATCAACACCCGAAGGAGGAACACCTGTGGTCACTAAACACCTGCAGGAGGAACACCTGTGTCATTAACACCTGTGGTCATCAACACCTGTAGTTAGGCGGGTGGACGGGTGGGTCTATGGGTATGTGGGCGGGTGAGTGGGAGGGCGGATGGGTGGGTATTTGGGTGAGTGGTTGGATGGGTGGGTCGGTGGATGGGCGGGCGGGTGAGAGGGTGGATCGTTGGGTGGGCGGGTGAGAGGGTGGATCGTTGGGTGGGCGGGTGAGAGGGTGGATCGTTTGGGTGGGCGGGTGAGAGGGTGGATCGTTGGGTGGGGGGGTGAGAGGGTGGATCGTTGGGTGGGGGGGTGAGAGGGTGGATCGTTGGGTGGGCGGGTGGTATTATGAGTGTCAACTTTGATATGACTCAGGGCTATTCTGGGCCCCCAGCCCCCAGCCCCCCGCCCCCCGCCCCCAGCCCCCAGCCCAGGCTAGGTAAGAAAGCAGGCAGATAGGGTGAGAGAAGAAAAGAGAGAGAGAGAGAAGGTAAGGAGATAAAGTTAAGCTGATGAAAAATCTGAGAGGTGTATATTTCTCAGTGCCAGTATCAGTGCCAGTATCAGTGCCAGTATCAGTGCCAGTATCAGTGCCAGTATCAGTGCCAGTATCAGTGCCAGTATCATCCAGTAATCAGTGCCAGTATCAGTGCCAGTATCAGTGCCAGTATCAGTGCCAGTATCAGTGCCAGTATCAGTGTCAGTATCAGTGCCAGTATCAGTGTCAGTATCAGTGCCAGTATCAGTGTCAGTATCAGTGTCAGTATCAGTGTCAGTATCAGTGCCAGTATCAGTGCCAGTATCAGTGCCAGTATCAGTGCCAGTATCAGTGCCAGTATCAGTGCCAGTATCAGTGCCAGTATCAGTGTCAGTATCAGTGCCAGTATCAGTGTCAGTATCAGTGTCAGTCCCTCAGCCAGGCTGAGGGACTGACCATCTCAAAACTACGTCATCAAGGCTGATGGATTGATTACATCGTCTGTACATCTCCAGTGCATCTGCTGCCTCCGTATTTAACTGAAGAAGCCTACTGTGTAGGCGAAACGTTTCGAAATAAAGATACCTAACTGTTGCACAAGTGTCTTCCTTATCAACAAGACCGAGGGTCTGCAACCCGCCACAGTGACTGCTGTGGTGCACGATCAACATTTCGAGGATTTTCATCTAGAAATCACTGAACGGGCAGGATTTGAACCCAAGGCAGGTCAGTCCTAAAACTCACAGGCCAGTGCTTTAACCACTGGGCCAGTTGGCTCTACTAATATTCGTCCAACTAGGTATATTTCTATACACCATAGGGAGGTTAGCATGAGCCACCACTGTGACCACAAATGCAGGTTTTATCTAGAAATACTACAACTACTACTGCCCCAGTTCCACACACTGAAGATTTACCACTGCCCTGTCCACCATCCTCAGTAGGAACTTCAGGGGTGGAGGTTACGTCTTCTGAAGAGGACCGTGATGATGCCTTCATTGAAGTAAGTCCAGGCTGATCGCCTCATTTCCTTGACTACCAAGAACTAGTTGACACAGTCAGGTCGTCTTAAAAAAAAAGTTGAAAACTGCGTTAGCGCATGATGTCTGCCTGCTGGAGGAGTGTTGAACCAGAGCCTAGATACTGGCATGGACGGAGGGTGGAGTCTCCAGCACTTGTACAAACACACTGACGGAGGGTGGAGTCTCCAGCACTTGTACAAACACACTGACGGAGGTGGAGTCTCCAGCACTTGTACAAACACACTGACGGAGGGTGGAGTCTCCAGCACTTGTACAAACACACTGACGGAGGGTGGAGTCTCCAGCACTTGTACAAACACACTGACGGAGGGTGGAGTCTCCAGCACTTGTACAAAGTTACACACTGACGGAGGGTGGAGTCTCCAGCACTTGTACAAAGTAACACACTGACGGAGGGTGGAGTCTCCAGCACTTGTACAAAGTTACACACTGACGGAGGGTGGAGTCTCCAGCACTTGTACAAAGTTACACACTGACGGAGGGTGGAGTCTCCAGCACTTGTACAAAGTAACACACTGACGGAGGGTGGAGTCTCCAGCACTTGTACAAAGTAACACACTGACGGAGGGTGGAGTCTCCAGCACTTGTACAAAGTAAACACACTGACGGAGGGTGAAGTCTCCAGCACTTGTACAAAGTAACACACTGACGGAGGGTGGAGTCTCCAGCACTTGTACAAAGTAACACACTGACGGAGGGTGAAGTCTCCAGCACTTGTACAAAGTAACACACAGACGGAGGGTGAAGTCTCCAGCACTTGTACAAAGTAACACACTGACGGAGGGTGGAGTCTCCAGCACTTGTACAAAGTAACACACTGACGGAGGGTGAAGTCCCCCAGCACTTGTACAAAGTAACACACTGACGGAGGGTGGAGTCTCCAGCACTTGTACAAAGTAACACACTGACGGAGGGTGGAGTCTCCAGCACTTGTACAAAGTAACACACCTGACGGAGGGTGGAGTCTCCACACTTGTACAAAGTAACACACTGACGGAGGGTGGAGTCTCCAGCACTTGTACAAAGTAACACACTGACGGAGGGTGGAGTCTCCAGCACTTGTACAAAGTAACACACTGACGGAGGGTGGAGTCTCCAGCCAGAGGAATACCCTGGTTGTGCTTATTCATTTTAAATATAGAAAATAAATATCTTCGGAGCGAAATATTAATTTTTTTTCAGGTGTCGGTGGGAGGGGGGGGGGAGAGAGGAGAAGAAGGAGGCCTAAAAAAAAGAGCCTATTTTTTTAATATCTGTTAAGAAATCTTATTTAAACGTTTCCAAGATAATTTTAAGTTAATGGGGCGACGTTGCACGGCCTGCAGTAATTACCACGACTGCAATCATCCGACGATGTAATCAACCAAGTCCATCTGATTCCGCGAACGCTACTTAGCCCGTCCGTAGAGCTCTCATTACTGACCTGTAATTGGATTCTCAGCTGCTGGACCGTGGCAGTCACTCACACACACACACACACACACACACACACACACACACACACACACACACACACACACACACACACACACACACACACACTCAATACTGTAACAATGTTATGAAAGGGTGAAATGTCTCACATCATCAAAGAAAAACATCAGCTGGGTTATCATAAAGTCGGAAATTAAAAATTGACCGAGGTCTCTGCAGGTACCTCAGTGATTATATCAGAAACGAATTCAGAAGGACTTAGTAGTACTACTACTAGTAGTAGTAGTAGTAGTAGTAGTAGTAGTAGTAGCAGTAGTAGTAGTAGTTGTTGTTGTTGTAGTAGTAATAGTAGTAGAAGTATCAAAGCATGGAGAACAGTTTCAGGGTGTAAGTTGCACAGAGAGAAGAATAGATGGTGAGGGTGTGGTGTATGGTGACTCACCTTACAGCAGATGGTGAGGGTGTGGTGTATGGTGACTCACCTTACAGCAGATGGTGAGGGTGTGGTGTATGGTGACTCACCTTACAGCAGATGGTGAGGATGTGTGTATGGTGACTCACCATACAGCAATGGTGAGGATGTGGTGTATGGTGACTCACCTTACAGCAGATGGTGAGGGTGTGGTGTATGGTGACTCACCTTACAGCAGATGGTGAGGGTGTGGTGTATGGTGACTCACCTTACAGCAGATGGTGAGGGTGTGGTGTATGGTGACTCACCTTACAGCAGATGGTGAGAGTGTGGTGTATGGTTTACTCACCTTACAGCAGATGGTGAGGATGTGGTGTATGGTGACTCACCTTACAGCAGATGGTGAGGATGTGGTGTATGGTGACTCACCTTACAGCAGATGGTGAGAGTGTGGTGTATGGTGACTCACCTTACAGCAGATGGTGAGGTGTGGTGTATGGTGACTCACCTTACAGCAGATGGTGAGGATGTGGTGTATGGTGACTCACCTTACAGCAGATGGTGAGGATGTGGTGTATGGTGACTCACCCTTACAGCAGATGGTGAGGGTGTGGTGTATGGTGACTCACCTTACAGCAGATGGTGAGGATGTGGTGTATGGTGACTCACCTTGCCGTAGATGGTGAGTAGGTGGCGAGGCTGAGGAAGTGAGTCAGGTGACAGCAAGACTCTCAAGTCAGGTAGGAGAGACTCTACGTACGAGCGGTGTTCCTCACTCTCCCTCACCTCACGGTAATCTGCAATGACACCATCACCTCAGTAGTCAGTGTCACTACTCATGCAGCTGGGTTGGTAGAACACTCAACTCACACATTGAGTGTCCGTGGTTCGATGCCCGGTACGGGTGGTAACACTGGGACGTGTTTCCTTAAGACACCCCTTTCCCTTTCCTTTT